ATCCCTGAAGAGCAGGTGGGGATGAGCACAAGATGAAAATGCGTGCTCACCACTATGCACGTATATCACATTAATAAATAATGTAAAGAAGGAATGGTTACAGCATGAACATAAATCAATTATTCTGTCACGTCTCTTAATCACATCACAACATATTACCCACGTGTACACATCTTTCATTAGCCACGGAAAGGGGCTTCATTACCCTAACTCATGGGGGTACGTGCCATACAACAAGACACGGCCTTTCATTAGGTCTTGCAGAGACTTACCTCGCAAGGGTAACCGTATTACATCGACGGGGACAATCGTACCGACGGCCGAATCGGCTCACGCCGATAAGCTACATGGTTTACATGCATACTTAAATCATACCAACCCAACATTAAAGTAAACACATACGGCATAGCAAATTTTATAAGTAAACTCACCTGGTTACCGAAGCGATAGATACAAAAACACGAGTAGGCAGCGAGCTCAGCTCGTCAAACACCTACATATATTAAAATAGTCCTATAAATGACTATTCAACACATGACCAACCAATCATAACAACCACTTAATCCAACTAAGCTCACATAAGCATTTAATCAAAGAAATCCCATTTCCGAAAACACCACTTACATTTTTCAAAGCTTGACCCGTGCAGCGTTTTTGAAATCAACATAACTTTCTGTACAAAACTCGGATGAAAATGATTCAAGTTGCACTAGAATCATAAGACATGCATCTACAATTTCTATGAAGAAAATGAAAATAAATAAGGTCATTAAGGTAGTGTAAAAATAGCTAACATTCAAACATCAAATTCATTCAAAGTATAAAATCCTACTTCATGCATATCTACATTAAAATTATCAAAACTCGAGCTACATATATCATCTCAGAATGAATCTTATCTTATTAGAAAGCTAATTAATAGGCCTACAATGTTCATGAAGATCACAAACTCATTTGAGCACATTTAAGTACCATAAAAAGGTCAAACATTTATTAATATATGCTGCCAGATTTTTGAAAACTGCTTGCACACTCGTTTTATAAAAATCATAACTCACTCGATATAACTCGAATTATCAAAATTCAAAAATCCCGAGAAAGCCAACAGAAGATACTACATTTCATCAGAAGGCCTCAACAACAAATTACGGGTTTCTAATGGTCATAATTACAGCACAACATAGCATTACATCATGCATGTACCAATCGAAAAAATCCAACTTCAAACAAGGATTCGGTAATACGAACGATACTTATATATAACATGTGATATACGAGAACAACCGCAATAACGAGAGGGTTTGGAAATGTTACCATCTTTGGGAAAATACGAGCTCAGTTAAAGTAATCGAACGAAATGACGGGAGTTCGGCATCGGCATTTTAAATCATTTTCTTACTATTCTCCACGGGAATTCAAACGAACAAAAATTCGGCTTACGCGATTACACCAAAAATTCAAACTGCGACTGATAAAATAAAACCGAACGGGCTATATAATCACAATATCCATATAATATTATAAAATATAATCTAAAAATTAAGATTCGATAAATAGAATAATCTGAGAAATTCTATAAATCGAATGGGGCGTTACAGAAAACCTATGTATTATACAATAGAGAAACTAAACATACAAAAATAATAAACACTAAATTATAAATAAAACAGAAAAATTTTTTTTTATTTACAAAAAAAAAAAAGAACAACCCCAACACTAACAGAGGTCAGCAGCGCGCGGCATACCCGGGGAGGAGCTCGAAGATGCGGGGCCGGCGCGGCAGCAGCTCCTCGGAGATTAAGAGAGCTGTCATTTATTTTAAATTATGACTGCAAATGTACAAAATGCAGAATAAACCAAAACTAAAAAGAAAAAACTTGATCTTTTTAAAAGGGATTCAAAATAAAAGCAAACTATAAAAATAAAAAATAGAGTGACCAACTGATCTATACGACTATATCTAACTCAATGACTCCACAAAAAGATTTGGCCAGTTATGCAATATTTTCATTGCTCACCATCTGAAATCTCAATCACTTAAACAGATCGGTCGGCCGACGCGAGCCCCGAACCATATAGTAAGATCCCCAAATATTTTGGAAAATTAAAATGTTCGTTCATATCCCAAATAATTTCAATAAAATCTTAAAGTATAAATTATCTCAACTCTTGAAATGATGAGGGCGCATCTCGACTAAGAACACAAGGCTAAATTAAAGGTCTGTGTGTGTACGCATGTGCTGTGGATCTCTCAATGATATGCAAATTCAAAACCGAATATTTTCGAATTTGCAGCGTCGGATTGAACTGCACTTACATGTTAACAGAAAAAAAAAATTAAGGAAAAACAATTACCTGGTTGGAAACTTCGTATGTGAAATCTTCGCAAGAGCAAATGTTGGTGGACAGTGGAGATGATATGAAATGTGATGAAGTCAAATTTCATTTGGTGTGCCAAATTTGAACATTTTTAGGTCCCTGAATACTTCCAGGGCCTGTTCGGTTAAACAACCCTATGATGGATTGTTAAACAACCCTATGATTTTTAGACCCGGGCCAGGTCGTGTCAATTCGGTTTAGAGTTGGCTTTTGAATGAAAAAAAAAATGACTAAAAATAAAATACTTGTCAAGGCCATTCAGAGCTTGGTACAAAGGGACTGGACGATCAATCATGTTCATAGAGAAGTCAATTTCGCGGTTGACCATATAATGAGAATAACGACTTCTTCTTCGCTCGGGCTGCAGAGACTTTCCTCACCCCCATTAAGTTTGCGTGAATAGTTGGATTATGATATTATTGAGATTTCGTACCCCCGTCGAGTTTTAAACTGGATCGTTAGGCCGATGGGCTCCTTTATTATGCCGAAAAAAATTAAAACCATTCTATTTCATCTTTCACCCAACCATCTTTTCAATTCACATGGATTTTTTCTTTTTTTTTAGTATCTTTTAAAAAATATATTGAATTCACCTCATTTCCTAGCCCTTGAGGCCGTGTTTTTATACAAGTAAAGCCTCTTAAAATTAGTTTTTTTTTTTAATTATTACTAGAGTTAGTTTTAAATAAAAAGTTGTATGAGAGTTGAAAACGGTGAAAAAAATAGATTTTGTACCCAACTTGAAGGTTTATTATTTGTATGTTGAATAATTAGACTAAAATTTTAAAGTCATGTTACGCTAAATGAAAAATTAATTCTAAAGTTATAATGTGGAGAATTTGAGTTTATGTAACACAAATATTACTGACTTCGCATGGTTTTTGACGAATGCTTAGACAAGCTAAGCGAGGCAGAATCATGCTTTAAGCATATTATTACTCTGAAATGGTTGGATGTAGGAAAAAAATCGAACATGATTATTAGTTTGGGGAGATAGTTACGGATTTGTTACGAAATTATCTCGTATGGATTTTCTAACCGTTAGATCAATTATTTTTTACGGTTATATGATAATCTAACGGTTATAAATTCATACAGAATGTTTCGTAACTACGAACATGAATCCGGATGCACTTAT